GCACCTGGTTATGACTGACTTCCGACTCCTTTTAAACCAACACCTAATTTACCGTTCAATTTCTCAGCCACTGCGAGAATTCCAATTTGGTTCTCACTACTGTCACTAAACTTCCCTTATATCCCCAGGTTCTATCAAACCATCTCCTGCCTTGACCCTTGTCAGCCGACGTCTGCACTTTTCTCCTCCAGTCGTGTTCCTAATTTGAAGGCTGAATATACCGTCTGCTCCTCATCTGTGACATCTTCTTCGTTGAAAATCTCCTTATTTTGACCGACCAAATGACTGCAAAGCCGATTGCCCTTATTGCTTGTGCCACGTACCCCCATCCTTCCTCCAGCTGCAGTGGAAGGCCTTGTCAGATACTCTCCAGGTCCTAATCCACCATTTCCAGAACCTGGCTGAGACCGGGCAATCCCACCACAAATGGGTTGTGGACTCAAATGCCCATCGGCACCTCTTACACGTTGTCTACGTTCGCTGTCTACTTTCATGCCTCGTTCACTGAGCCAGACGACCGACGGGGTAGTGAATAATGATAGCAGCCAAAGGGTAACAACCAGTCTCTGAGCTGGCATTAGCCTGAGTTGCTGCCAACAGCGATGGACAAATTGCTCGTATGATGTGTTCCGGTTCCATCTGTGGGACGTTAAACCATCTGTCCGCTGCCACCATCTGTGGGGTTATATTCTAGCTCAATAGAGTAGTCGAGGACATATTCGTCTGAGCCATCTAAACCCCTTCCTCTCCATGCCCATTGTGTTGGATCTGTTCTGCTCTCTGTGAGAGGGTTTCTGTTACCTCTTAGCGCAACAGCCATCTACACCCCTTCCTGATTCGGGCCAAAACCGGTGGTGGCCTAGTCACTTGACTTTCTTCCTCCATACGGATGAGTACGGTTCGCCATAGCTCAAAACTTCCGTCTTCCTTTGTCCTCGATGCTTATGAATGAAATGGCATATAAAACAAAAAACAGCTGTGCACCTGTACCGTGGCAATAAAATGTGTCCACGTACCATGAGTATGAACAAGTAACGTGTATGGGGATACATTCATCACCATGTATCTCATGATGCCTCTAGCAGGCCATCCGACAGATGCGGAAGCGTTCCTGTCAGATCCACCACAATATTTGAATTTCACATTTCAAGTTCGATTTCTCAGAGCCAAAATATAAAAACGAAGTCTGGAAATCAACCCTCTTTTCGAGTCTATAAATTAGACTTTGATGGATCTCATTGGACGGAGGCCGCCGAGATCCGATGTATTCAATGGCCGTACTTCACAGTCCCCGCTCGGAAACTACCTGGCGCTGAGATCCGATGTATTCAACGGCCGTACTGCGTCACTCGAGGCCACACCTGATCGAAATCCTGAACGGAGTGGTAGAATACTTCGCTAATGGGTCCAGGCCCCAGAGCAGAAGGGGAAGGATGCGTGCTTGTGGATGAAAAAGGGAAAGAAGTTCAAAAAACGTAATTAATTCCACGGAGATGAGGGTTGCGGAAGTACTAGGGACTTTAAGTTGGAAGCTCGAGTCGGAATATATGAATATATGAGATTTTCTATGATCTACCCCCCCCCCCCCCCCCCCCCCCCCCCCCCCNCCCCCCCCCCCCCCCCCCCCCCTGGCTCTGTTTCCCCCTTTGGATCCAATAGAGTTAAGAGGGGAGAGATCAGCCTAGCCCATGTGACCGGAGACCGACCTGAGCTTGAACCCTTCTGGGAGCCAAATGATGTCGAGGCCCCCTCTGGGGAGGCTCTGAGGCAAATGGACAGGGACCTGTGCGGTGCGCCAATGCAGCCCATGTGACCGAATGGTGCAACAATGCGTTAACGGCCTAAAAATGTGGAGGTACTGGTGGTGAAATTGACCTAGCCCATGTGACCGAATGGTGGACCCATAAATTGTCATTGTAAGACCGACCTGAGTTCGAACCCATCCGGGAAGCAGATGAAATCCTGGGTCCGGTCAGTTCGACGAGGATACCCCTTGTAAGAAATGAAGAAAAGCTTAGGAAGGAACGAAAAAGGGAATCGAGGAATGGGCAAGGTCAAGGATTGAGCGGTGGGTCAAAAGGGTTCTGCTCACATGTTCTTTTCTCCCTCTCTATTGGCAGTTGTGTGACAATATATATACATAACGCATATCGTCATACAGAACTGCAGGTAGGCAGAGAGGGAGAAGAGGACTATGAACGAGGGGCTGTGACAAACTGTTTCATCGGAATTTTTTTTTGTTTTTTTTTTCCCTTAGGAGAGTCACTGACAATTTGTATTCCAAAATCGCAAGGAAGAGGCTGGGGACCTCGCAATTCGACCTGGAGAAAGGAAAGTTATCGACTGGGAACCGGGTCCAGTTTTGTTGACTCGGCAATCAGGAGCGTGAACTTTGTGGGAGTGATTGTTGTAATTCAGGAGCCTGAACTTTGTTGGAGTGTTTGTTGTAATTTGATGGCAGCGTATGCATCTGGGCACATTTATGCATCAGGGCACATTTATGCAACTTCGTGGGAGGATTTTCTTTGGTCGAGTGAGATTGTCTGAACAGTGCAGAAATTTCAGGGCCGGTTTGATGCTTGGAATTTCGATAGAGGTTTTTCCTCAGGCGCAAGCCTGTAAGCTAAGCTGGCTGGTGCTGTCAGTATGCGGGTTGAATTGAGAGGTATAAGTCCCATTTACGCGTTGAGCTAGGTCCACGTTGATACGACATACGCCCACGTTGATACAACATAGAGCGGCCTCAGTGATCGATTCGGCCTGTGGACACCGTGTGGCTGATAGATCGGCACAGTTGGCAAATTTGTGGGGGCTGCTTAGGCCGGGTTCAAATGCGTAAAAAAAATGTTTTGAGCTTGCAACAAGGGGTAGTGGGCCTGGGGTCAACGTTGAGGTAGTCAGCTAGCTCAGCGTCAATGGCCAAGCCTGTGGACATCGTGTGGCTGATAGATCGGCACGGTTGGGATTTTTTAAATTATTATTAATATTTTTTTGGGGGGGGCTGTTTAGGCGGAGTTCAAATACGTAATAAAAATGTTTCGAGCTTGCGACAAGGGGTAGTGGGCCTGGGGTTAACGTCGAGGTAGTCAGCTAGCTCAGCGTCAATGGCCAAGCCTGTGGACATCGTGTGGCTGATAGATCGGCATAGTTGGGATTTCTGTGGGGGCTGTTTAGGCGGAGTTGAAATGCGTAATAAGAATGTTTTGGGCTTGCAACAAGGGGTAGTTGGCCTGGGGTCGATGTTGAGCTAGCTGACTATCAGAGAGGTAGTAAACGAGTGTAACATCGATGGCCAACTTCTCTCATGTAGCCATGCAAATTCCGTCGTTTTTATGAGTCCGTAACTATTTCCTAACACACGGGTGCCTGCTATTTCCATCCAGCGAGATTGTGGGATGATCCCTCCCACGAAGGGCGTCGTTGGACACCACTTGAACTAGAAGGGGTGATGGAAAATTCTTCGTTCCACCCCTCTAATGACCCTGCTGTAATTCACTTTGAATTCCTGCTCTCAAGTGTGCATACTTGAATCTCTCAAGTCCCGCTGGGGCCAAATTGCACAGTCTACCTCCCTGAGGAAGTGCCAGTGGATACCGCCAGCACTTTTTTCCTTTTTCCAGCAGGTGATCCTGGTGCAGGATTGGTCAGCAAGCCGTGGACCTGGTTTCAAGTGTAGAGATCTTGTTCAAGGTTTCCTCGAGTGTACATGGAACTTTAAATGGAGCAATTGTAATTAACCAGAATTGCTGTTTAGTGTGCATACTTGAAACTCTTATTTCAAGTGGTGTAGTACGAGGCTCGAAGAGTGTGGGGATTCTTTTTTAGGCATGAGGTATGATTGGGCTTTCACACGTCCACATGCAGTCGTGAATAACATCTGTGCTTTCAAGAGCAATCGTGTTGCAGCATTTAGGCGCATTTAGAGGACTTCAATCTTTCCTCTGTGTTTTTTGTTTGTGCTGGCAAACGGTTTCCCCCTTGACCCTTAACACGTCCACATTCGACCCAGTTCTTTTTTGTTTTGGGAGACATGAAGGGGTGGTGTGCAACCGCCCTTTGTGTATGATTGCCGAAAGTGGGGAAGTGTATATCCATGAGGGGGTGGGAGGGACGGAATAGTGCAAGAAGACTTCTCGAATGAGAAATGACAGAAAGGCCTTACGCTCCAAAAAAATGGATAGGTTCGCTCATATGGCCTGCTTTTCTTTGAGTTTGGAAAGAGGTCCCTGGGCCATGCCGTTAGTTTTCAAATTTTTATTTTGTCCCGTAACCGCCATGCTCCAATCCCAGATACAAGCCTACATTCACAACTCTGACAACGTGTCCAGGTGCAATGCACGTGAAGTCTCATATGTCAATGATGGTGGCCGGATTGTGCTCACAGCTGTTCTCCACCCATTGGCCTCTGCTGAAAGGTCGGCGATCGTGGAGGTGCCCTGTCAGATGAATTTTTTGTTTTTGAAATCAAAAGAGAAAAAAGAACGTCGACAAATGATATGGCAACATTTTAATGGACTATTGTGTAAAACCGTTGAACTACTTCAACCCCGTCAGATGAATTTCTTGTTTTCGAAATCAAAGGAGAAAAAAGAACTTCGACAAATGATATGGCAACGTTTTAATGGACTATAATGTGTAAAACCGTTGAACTACTACAACTAAATGTCGTAAGTGGGACTTGGCCTTTCAAAAGAAGATGTTCAGAACAAAGCACGGTGTTGCCCATTTTGTTCTTTTTCCCGCATGTCATAATGGATGGGAGGGGAGATCTTTGCCATTGACGGTCAATATCTCTTAATTCGTGCTGGGACCTAGCACCGGGTTGGACGGGGGAGCGGGGGAGTGGTATTGACGGTTTTTGTTTTGCAGCTTTTGATTTGTAATGTTTTTGTGGGATGGTAGTAGAGGAATGCGAGGGCAAAGCGGGGTGGTAAAGCGGCGAGTGTGACATTGTTTTGTGTATTGGCCGCTGTGGCTGAATGGTGGTGTGTGGTGTGTAGGGGAAAGGCGAACTGGAGAGCATGAAACTTGTGGATTTGAGCCAGACGGCAATCAAGATGGGACCTGCCGTTCGAAATAACTGTTAAGTATTTTTTGATTTTTTGTGTCGAAGAACTTGGAAGGGTGTTTGCCTCTCTGTACTTTTGCTGCAGTAGTCGCTAAATGCGTAAAAGACAAAAGATAGTGGTGCATTTTTCCATGCTTCCGTGAGGAGTCTCTCTCTCTCTCTCTCTCTCTCTCTCTCTCTCTCTCTCTCTCTCTCTCTCTCTCTCTCTCTCTCTNTCTATCTATCTCTCTCTCTCTCTCTCTCTCTCTCTCTCTCTCTCTCTCTGTGGTATGTACCCCCACCGAGCTCATTGATGCCAAAGCTGACTGGCGACTTTCCTGGCTGAAAGAAAGGGGAAAATGATGAGATCACTGCGAAGGCTGTTTGTCAGGGTGTCGCATCTAACTTGTGCCTGGATAAACGCCAGGCTGCCCGACCGGGCAGGAACCCGGGCAGGGTTCCTGGTAGTCTGATCGCCAAAAACAGAATGAGAAGAACAAATCTGAAAATTCAGAATTCCAAATTTAAAAGAGAAGTTGTGGAGGATTGCAATACAATTTGAAACGACTGTTGGCTGAGGGTGACATCAGAACCACTCGTGTCATCGAATATAGGAAAGATAACAACTGAATCATACGTAAGGCACTTTAAACCCGTTTAGCCCTGTAGTAACTGGTTCACACACAGCCAGAGCTTGCAAAGAGAAAAGCCGTTCACACCCCTCTCCCCCCTTCCCTTGACATCCGGAGCTTGAAAAGAGAAAAGTGCCTGGCTTTGGGGCTCCTCTGGGCACGCAGAAAAGCTCCCAGCTGTTAAAAAAGAAAAAGAAGAAACAGAAGGGCTGAATTTCGCCTGCATCGGGTGCCCTGTGTTAACCTCAGGGGCTTGCCATGGCCGGAGGCCGTGCTGCATGGCCGGGTGAGCCAAGTAGCGTCGGAGATGAGGGAGGGTGCACGGCTGGGTTCTAGCCTAGGAGATGAGGGAGGGTGCACGGCTGGGAGATGAGGGAGGGTGTACAGATGGGTTCTAGCCTAGGAGATGAGGGAGGGGGTTTCGTTCAAGTCAGCGGTGAAACATTACAGCCTTTATTGATCGCATGTTTGTTTGTGTGGTCCTATTTTTGTCTTTCCCTTTCCCTTTGTGTTTGGGTGGTGCTAACTTTTTGTGGTGTCTTTCCCATTAATTTCAGTTTATGTCTTTTTCATCACTCGTGACATATTATCTCCATTGGTGTGTTGTGTTTAGGTGGAGGTCATTACAACCACACACTGTTCTGGACGTACATGGCCCCAAAGGGGTCATCCATCACCAAGCCGACGGGTAACCTTCAGGCAGCCATCGACAAAAATTTTGGGTCTTTCGATCAATTCCAGACGGCCTTCAACAACGCATGTGCTGGAGTGTTTGGATCTGGATGGGTGTGGTTGGGTGTTGCCGAGGTAAAGTGTTTCTCTCTCTTGCCGTGATTTCCCTCCCCCACTACTCTCTCTCTCTTGCCGTGTTTTCCCTCCCCCACTACAACATTCTGGACATTGTTCTATGTGTCATTGTGTTTTCTATTTCTGTTTATATAGGGTCTTCTTTTTTTAGCTACGGAGCTGCTACTGTATATTTTTCTCTCAGTATGCCTCCCACTACCTACCTACCTATATATGTAATTTTCTCAGCATGGTGTGTCAAGGGTTATGGGCTAGATTCTGACCTCTTCTCTATGCGGGGTCTATATTTTTCTCTCGATATACATCCCACTACCTACCTGCGTACATACATCGTTTTCTCAGCATGGTGTGTTGAGGGTTATGGGCTAGATTCTGATGTCTGCTCTATGTGGGGAGCGAGCAGTACCCTGGCTCCTAATCCCTGGTCGAGCCGGAAAGCGAAGCGCTTTCCAATAACCAGCCAGGAGGCCCAATCCAGTTATCTCTGGTGGTGAACCCGAAGGCTTATCACACACGGGGGTCGCGGGGATCAAATGGATGACGTGGGGAATTGAACCCACAACCTCCTGAATACCAACTGAGCTAGCCCGCTTTGGTTATGTGGTCTTCTGATTACTTCCTGTGCTGGAGTATTTGGATCTGCATGTGTGTGGCTAAGTGTTGCCGAGGTAGTGTATGCATGCATGACTCGCAGGGGTCGTTGATCGGCAGCCCTCTGGGTGACATCCATAATATCTTTCGGGTCCTTGGACCGATTCCAGAGGAGTGTTTGGCTGTGTATGGGTGTGGCTATCGTCTTCACCAGAACAGAATGTCCGGTTATAGAATCAGCGAGCGATGACTGGGCGTTCTATTCGCGTGAAGACTGCAGGTCGCTGAGGTAGGGTCTCAATGTGGTGGCCTAACCATGCATACAGATTCCTAGTTGTTTGTTTATTTTTTCATATTTTTGCCACTTTTTGGTGTATTTATGGAAATGTGCCTGACATCTTTGTGCAGGGGAGGAGCTGATCTCCTGCCTCCATGTCCAGAATGACATTTATCTGGACATGACATTTCTCCTCTCTATGCATCGCTCCGATTTTTAAACTGCAGGGTGCTTCAGTTGTTCATGCTGTGGATTGCTTGGAGGTCCGTCGCATGAGCACCTTTTCCCCTATGGCCTTTATCGTAAGTGGAGGAGGATGAGGCTGACGGCTTTTCTCTGCTCCCCTTGATTGTACATTAACGACGATAAGGGGGGGGGAAAGATCCCGATGAAGCATCGTGTTGCCAATCAGGCTTGTGGAGTTTGAAGCCTTTCATTCATTTATTCATTCAATGAAAGGTTTTTAAACCACCAGGTACCTCCACGTTTTTAGGCTGTGCGCCGCGCAGGTCCACTGTGACATGCATTTGCCCCAGAGTCTACCCAGAGGGGTTTAACACCCGCTCGGGCCCCCTGGGGTATTGGTGGTTTAAATTCCTAAATTTTGGAGTGAATGATGCTATGCCCACAAATAATCAGCTATAGCTCGTGAGACGCTGAAGACTCATGTGAAGGAGGGGGCTTCAAAATCAGCAAGTGATGACAAGGCAATCATGGTGATTCGTCGTATGCACGAGTATGATTGACCATGAGTTAGGCCACATTGGCCAATTACCGGATTAAGGCTAGGCTAAAGTGCCAATATGAAGCGTTCATGACTGCCATGTAGGCCAATCACCAGCTGAAGGGCATCAACAGTGAGGACAGTTACTTGAATGCTAAGAACAGTGGAATGCCATTATGGATTATGTGCACCAGTGATTGACACTACCTTGTTCATGTGATTTTATGTATGTGAGAGAAGGGTGCTGAGACTGTTCTGCTCTGCTATGTAGATTGCCTGGAGCGAAGATGCGAATGCTTGATCTGCTGTGTGCTGATTCTTGTGCGTTCTGTGGCTGAGGTGCTTGCGGAAGTGGGTAGGCGACAGAAGAAGAGACAGTTGTAACATGTACCGTGTCATGCCGGGTTGATACCGTGTCATGCGTTCTGTGGCTGAGGTGCGTGCCGAAGTGGATATAGTGAAATGAGGGGTGCTGGAGGTGTAGAGGTTGGGAGAGAAGGCGGGACAGTTTCTGGTTGATGACTTAGTACTGGCTCTACCTCCCCAGCCCTGGCGGCCCCTTCCCCCAGATGGCTTAGTGCTAGCACTGAGGGCCAAGCTTATTCACTGCTCTGCACCGGCTTTGTGGTGGTGCTGTTGTTTTGTGGACGTTGTTGATTGGAGTTCCAAGGTTGAGGAGGTGGGTTTTCAGGAAGAGTTGGATGTAGGTTGATGGGTGGTGCGCGAAGAGTTGGATGTGGGTGTGGTGGGAAAGTAACAATGACGTGGTGGACTGAACTGATCGTGCGAAGAGGTGGATGTGGTGGACTGGTGCGCGAAGAGTTGGATGTTGGTGTGGTGGGAAAGTAACAATGACGTGGTGGACTGAACTTATCGTGCGAAGAGGTGGATGTGGTGGACTGGTGCGTGAAGAGTTGGATGTGGGTGTGGTGGGAAAGTAACAATGACGTGGTGGACTGAACTGATCGTGCGAAGAGGTGGATGTGGTGGACTGAACTGATCATGCGAAGAGTCGGATGTGGGTTGATGTGTGGCAGGAAAGTAATGATGACAAGACATGTTGAACCGATAGGACACGGGAGGCTCACGAGCTGATCGGTTGTGTGTCATGATGAATGTGTTTCTCCTTCTCTGTTAGCTGTTTCGAAATGCCTTCCACTAAATGATGCATTTGTCTTGTCTGTCACAAATGTTTGATTGTTCCTGTTTGTGTGTGTGTGCTAGCTAGCTAGCATGTGTCTGTGTTCTAGCGTGTGTGTGTGTGCGTGTGCGCTAGCATGTGTCTGTGTGTGTGTGTGTGTGTGCGTGCTAGTGTGTCTGTGTTCTAGCGTGTGTGTGTGTGCGTGCTAGTGTGTGTGTTCTAGCGTGTGTGTGTGTGTGTGTGTGTGTGTGTGTGCGTGCTAGCATGTGTGTGTGTTCTAGTGTGTGTGTGTGTGTGTGTGTGTGTGTGTGTGTGTGTGTGTGTGTGTGCGTGCTGGCATGTGTGTGTGTGTGAGCAGGATGGAAGATTGTCAATCGAGACAACGGCTAATCAGGATAATCCATTGATGGACGGAGTTGTGCTGAGCCAAAATACTGCCACTGGTGATCGGGTGCCAGGCACGAACGGAAGAAAGATTATACCCTTCATGGGACAGGACGTTTGGGAGCATGCCTACTACCTCAAGTATCAGAACCGAAAGACGGAGTACTTCGCAGCCTGGTGGAATGTAGTCAACTGGAACAAGATCTGCGAGTACTATGACCAGTACGCTTCCAAGAAATTGTACATTCCTGTGGCTTGATTGAATGTGGGATCCAGGTACAGATATGCTAGACCGATAGGATGGCTTTGGGAAAGCCAGCCTGGACAATCTGACTGTCATCTGAACGTCATGTAAGTGTAGGAGGAGGGCGAGAAAAGTCTCGCCAAGACAGGAAAAATGTAACCAGTACATACGGAAGGGGAAGGTGTGTGAAAAAGGTGTAACGTGGGTGCACATAGTTGTAAAAACGGGTTAGGTGCTGGTTTGACTGTAATGCACATAGCAGTGAGAAATGGGTTAGGAGGTGTTTGACTGCATAATGCATACGCAAGACCATAGTAGCTCTGCGAGTGCAGTGAGCCACCCTACTTCACACTGGTTAGGAGGTGTTTGACTGTATAATGCATAGTATTGCATACGCAAGACCATAGTAGAAGTGCGAGTGCAGTGAGCCACCCTACTTCACACTGAATTACCATTTTACCCTCCTCTTGAAGGTTAATGCATAGTATTGCATACGCAAGACTATAGTAGAAGTGCGAGTGCAGTGAGCCACCCTACTTCACACTGAATTACCATTTTACCCTCCTCTTGAAGGTTGTTCCCTACCTGGAAGTTGTCGGAGATGTTGAATTGGAGTGTCAGGAAGGATTGTATGGAGAGGCAAGCCTGGTCTCTGTCTGTGTGGGTGTGGGTGTCTGTGCGGCAAGACCTGAGTCTGTGGGTCAGAACGTTGTCCTTCTCGCGAAATAGAAAAATCGAATGGGCATTGGTTCACTCAACAGAGGCGAAATGTAGATTGCGTGGTGGTTACGAATAGCCTGAAGTCACTGAACCGTAAAAATCACCGGTGGGTAGTACTGCACTTGCTAGCCGGGTTACATTTTGAGATCAAAAAGATGGGAAGGCTGTATTTTTTTGTCATCTCGAAGAGTCTGTTGCAGATGAAACAGCCGCCTTGTCGAGAGCCTTTTGTCGATGAAGCAGCGGCCTTAATAACGAAGAGGAGGCTGTGTCTTGATTGTGTCCTCTTCCGGGAGAGCCTTTTGGAGACGGAGCTGCCACCATGGGGAGGGCCTTGCTAATGTTGGATGGTAGAAGCATAACGGTATAATGTGAAATCACCAGTGCTTGGCCCATATGTAGGCCGGGGGCTCCATATGTTGTATGCTGGGACTCTCGGGGCTTGGTTGCACCGGTTACGGCAGGCGCAGGGTTTCCAGGGTTGGAGAAAAGCGTCTTGGAAGTACGGGTGGTGTAGTGTGGTTAGGGCACGAAGAAGATTGGTGAACACACAGAACTGCCACGTGCGCAATAGGAGGCCTATGGTGTGCAAGCGGAGAGAGACTGGCGACCAGCGTTTGCAAATGTTACACTAGACTGTGATGCTGATGTGCACATAGACAGACAGAAATGATGAGATGGGGTTATATGACTGTAGGACTCAAAAAATTAGTCGAAAAATTAGTCAGCGGAGACTGGTGCAGGTGTGTTTAGCAAATGCTGAATTTTTAAGTGTTGGAAGGAGGATGGAGACAGGAAGTGGGATGGATTTCTGTCCGTGTAAAGAGATGAAATGATCATCAGGGTTGGGATTGATGTCGATGAGTGGAGAGAGCTATGTGTGGTGGGAAGAGAGAGACGGAGAAGTTGCTGCTGGGCTGTGGCTCAAAGCAGAAAGAGTCCAGTTGATTGTTGACTAGGTATTCGCATCAAAACCTGTGCACAATGATGATGTGTGTATGGATCATTTGAAACGTTTTGTAAATACATGCATTCTGTAGAAAATATCTGGTTGAAATGCTTTTTAAATACGTGCACTCTGTAGAAGATATTTGGAAGACGTTCCTCTGGTATAACCTGCTTGCAGCCCTTCAAGTCTTAAACCACAAGTATCTTCCATGTATCGTCTGCAGGCAGTTTCAGCGGCCCGAAATGAATAATGGGCTGCTGAATCAGTGCTGATGAAACTCGTCGATGCCGGCCCTCTCCTGCTTCGGTCGTGAATATAATACTGGTGCAACGTTGATGCCCGAGCGGGGGCCGACTCATTTTGTATAGGGGCTATAGGGGCTATACTCTCTTGCCTTCTGTGGAAGGTGTGGGAATGATGCAGGATGGTTTGACTGTCTACGTTTATGACTTCGGGAGGTGTTTGTAATGGTGAAACATGGTTCTTTTTTCTTGTGAGGGTGTTTGGTTTTGTTTTTGTACTGCTGGTGTGTGTGTGTTGAGGACTTTCTGGAGGATTGGCGAGGTCGTGTCAGCGTGAAATGCACACACCTGGGGTGCTTTTTTGAACGTTAGGAACAGGGGGTGGTGGAGGATTGGCGAGGTCGGGTCAGTGTGAAATGCACACACCTGGGGTGATTTTTCGAACGTTAGGAACAGGGGGTGGTGTTGCCTGTCTCTGTCCTTAGGGTGTGCTGCGCCACTGACGAAATGAAACAGAGTAATTTTTGGACCCTGCTGCTGTCCAGATGCATTCCTGTCCAGATGCATTCAAAATGTTGGTGGGATGGTTTTCCGGGGTGGTGTTGCCTGTCTCTCAGTAGGGTGTGCTGCACCACTGATCAAATGTAACGAAGTAATGTTTTTGGACCCTGCTGCTGTCCAGATACATTCAAAATGTTGGTGTTTGGCAAGTGGTGCGGTGAGCCCCTTAGTCGTTGTATTTGATGTGATAGTAGTGCAGAATATCTGAACGCCAGTGTGGATCTCAAGGTTTCGAAAGTCACAGTGGAGGGGACCACGTGTGTGAAGCAGCCGGGCTGGCCTCTGAGACATTTTATCATCCGCAGTTAAACTTCTCATGCTGGGACACACTTTTAGTGTGAAATAGGCAATGAATGACAAAGTGTCTGGCACTGCCTGCCCGTGAAATAGGCAATGAATGACGAAGTGTCTGGCACTGCCTGCCCGTGTCATGGTGGGCGTCTCAAAATTATGGAAGTTTAGTGTGGAAGTCATTACCCGCAGTGGCACTTGGCAGATTCAGGGTTGCCTTTTTTGCCTGGGCGTTGTGTTTTAGTTAATAACGCTTTAGTGAATTTCAGAGCCAAGCAGCATCATGCACATGAGACCAGATAGTCGTGACATCGAACCAAAAGCAGAATTGCATCACGAGTCACACCAAATAAGCGCACAGCAAAAGCTCATAGGTGACAATGTTGGAATAGTCTCATCATCATCAACAAAGAACCAATGTCGACATCCTATCTGGTGCTCTGCGCGCAGACTACAATTGGCAGAGCCTATCTAGCCTATCTACAATGCCGCTGGTGACGTCAACAGCTCCCCGAAGTCCAAGCAGATCTCGGCCAGTGCTGTTCGCCTCAAGAACCAGGTATGTCTCCCGCATCACTCGCAACCTCGATCCCCCACTCACAGTTGTCACCTGCACCCAAAGACCACCATGTGCCCCATCCAGCATACAGCAGCGCAGCTTGGCTATGGCTGCCTCCTTCCAGCTCGCCCGTGAGCGCGTGAGCGTGTGAGCGCTGGCCAGCGAATAGCGCAGCATGCAGCCAGTGCCTGCTCAATCCGGGGCCAGGCTCTTTCCTAATTGAAGTGGCCTGCCTGCTGCGTGTGGGCTGACTGTGATGGGCCCCTGCCCGGAAGCTTCCCGTAGGCCCGGAGTGGCCGAGCCCCAGGCCAAGGGAATCAGGCACAGGGCCTGAAGTGATTGCTCACGTTCAACTGCCCGTAGCCTCTGTTTGCTCTATGTTGCGTGCCTGGCCCAGGGCCGACTTCAGATACATTGGAAAAAGGTGGCCTGGGCCTGGGCGCTCTCAACCAACTGAAGCAGCGCACCATGAATTTCCTCAGTTGCCTGAAGGTCCGAAATAGGCCTCTCGTCACTTGTTAGGGACGCCTTCACTTAGGGCGGCCAACCTTGCTGATTTAGGGCCCAGTGGGGCTTATCAAGGCCTTGCACCTGCACAACTTCAAAATTCAAAAAAAAAAAATCACGAACTCCTGAAAATGTAGGGTGTGTACTATATAGCCGCTCAGGAGGCTGCTGGAAGGTTGAATGTTTTCGGATGCCATAGCGTTTTTCATCGAACGAGATGCCTTTATGTTATGGAACAACTAGTATCATACGGGCTACATTCTTGGCATTCTGGGGGGGTATAGAAGGTCCATTCACTTATTCAGGGTGACTTCAGTGTAGATACAGTGCTAATGACTGGCCATTCTATTTGGGTGAAGACAGTAGGGAATCTACCGGTACTGAGGGTGGGATCCCACTGCCAGGCCGCCAGGGCCAAACAGTGTGGGGATGTCACGTAAGGCTCAAATGAGATCCCGCGCCGCCGCCACCTTTTCTGCTGGGACCACGGGCCATCAGCGGCGAGGACAGTGGCAGTGGCAGTGGGAGAACATTGGAATTCAATGTCCTTCCCGCTGGCGGGCCCTGTGGGATCCCGCAAGGTGTCCTGGCGGAAAGGGAATTTGCTACTCCGTTTACTAAGCATTTCTCAATGATGGTGATGCCCCCCAGCTCCCCCNTGTGTGTGTGTGTGTGTGTGTGTTGTGTGTTGTGTGTGTGTGTTGTTAAAGCACCCCCCTCCAGAAATCATAACAAACAATCCATAACGAAAAAGAATAGATAGACAATATATATAACAGAAAATGCAAGGTTGGCCACGTTTGTGTGGTTCAGCGCCAAGTGCCCACACACCCGTTTGCAGCTGAAGCGGCACACTTGCACATGTACATATATACATATATACATATATTTATTTCATAATCCATAAAAGGGCGAAGGGCGAAGGGCACAAGGCAACTCACCTAAGACAGAGGACTCCACCAGCAAGAAAGCACCGACCCCATCCGCCATAGGTCCCAAAAAAACTTGGAGAGCCCTCCGCATCGGCCCACAAAACCACAAACTTAATCAAACAAACCCAACAGCATAACACAAAAGGCTCCACTAACAAAAAAGCACCCAGCGCACATGCCGATGGTCCCAAAACATTGTAGAGCCCTCTGCGACGGCCTACAACGCCACCACGGATCAGAAATACACCCGCAGGACCTGTACGCAACACGAGGAGTGTCATGAACCTCCCCCTGCCGCGCAACCTGCAGAATCGGATGATGTCCTAGCGCTACAGCACGGCCACTGCAAGAACTATGCCAAATTCCACAAGATCTCCATGCGACACCAGGAGCGCTGCTGCTTAAAACACACTAGAAGGCACCCCATTCTTCCATGTGTTCCGAAAGAGCAGCCCGCGGGAATGACACCCACAGCAAACATTCCCTGAGCCTCCTCGCAGAGATATTGTGGCCAAAAAAAAATTAAAAACCCAAACTCCCAGCCCAGAAAAAACTTGTGGCCACCCACAGACATTACTTCATCGGCAAGACAGCCCATGCTACAAAGCAGGGCAAAGAATTAGGCCATGTATAAACAAACAAACCGACAAAACAAATCCATCCACAGAGAAAGAGTAGCCCACTAGTACGAGCCTGATCATAACCGCTCAAATCTGCCAAGACAGAAAGCTCTGTGTGTGTGTGTGTGTGTGTGTGTGTGTGTGTGTGTGTGTGTGTGTGTGCTGTCTCTTATACACATCTAGATGTGTATAAGAGACAGATGTAAAGGTGCCCAATGGCTGTAGTTTGTGGCAATGTGAAAACACTGCCACTGTCACCGCTGGCCGCTGTGGGATCCTCCCAAGGAGTGCTGGCGGAAAGGCAACAGTTTCCACCAGTTTGCCTCTCCGGTTACTGTAGAGTTCCAAATGGTGTTGGTGGTTCCCCCCACTCCCAACTTCAGGCCATGAGAAAAGGGCCATGAAATGGCAGCCAAGGCTGCAGTGTGTGGCAGTGTGAAAACACTGCCTTGCATCTAGTGGCCCCTGTGGGCTCCCGGCGCCTCCCTCAAGGTGTCCTGGCGGAAAGGGAACAGTTTCTGCCAGTCGGTACTACTGTCTTCCCCCGAACACGACGCACCGTCATGTTGATGTACCGCACTGGAGACGTAGCTTGTATACATCAATGTTTTGGGTGCGTTATGTTCAGGGGAAGACAATAGCGGCCACGAAATTGCAATCGACTTTTCCGGCCCACGAAGTGTCAAATTTTTAGTTCCTGATCACCGGATCGTGGATGTATCTGGACGCACACGAAACCAGGGGGGTTGGCATGTTCAGAAACCCTCAGGTTTGGCAAACCAATATCTTGGCGCTAGCAAAGATGAAGAGCGCAGCGAAATGTGTTACGCAATGTGAATTGCAGAAATCCGTGAGCCATCGATACCTTGAACGCACGTGGCGCCCAAGGCTTCTGCCGAGGCGGCGCCCGCCTGAGGTTAAAAAACAAAAAGATGGTATTCTTGTGCAAATTAGTCGAGGTCTTTTTGTGAATTTTATTTTGGTGATGGAGGCTGCTCGAATTCTTGTCTTTTTGTGCATTTGATTTTGGTGAGTAAAACCGGGAGGCTTCACATCACCTGTTTGAAGTTTGAACTTTGCCACAAGTGAACCTTTAAAAAAAAAAAAAAAAAAAAAAAAAAAAAAAGAAATGCGAATGAGGGGCACACATGAGAAGAAGGGTGATGTGGACCCGGAGAATGCCACATTGCAGCCCATTTGAATAATAGACTAATTGCCGGTCTACTCAAAGTTGTGCCTTGAACCTGGGCGGAGTGCCCGGATCATACCTGGAAGTATTCAAATGGGCTGCCATGTGGCGTTCTCCAGGTCCACATCAACTTTCTTCTTCTTATTTCACTCGTCTTGGTGCCACAAGTGGCATAGTTGGGTAATGTGAGAAGCATTGAGCAGAGACTGCCGTAGGGGGAGCAGACTGGAGGGGAGGCCAATGGGGATTGAACCCACGACCTCCTGAATGCAACTTCTGCGCCTTACCAGCTGAGCTAGGCCCGCAGACCATACTGGCATTATAGCAGCAAAGGAGATTTGACCTTTATCCTTCACCATTGTACATATAAATGGCTCTGAGTTTGCGCCAGGTACTTGGCAATTTCACCCGAATACATACATATTGGCATTATAGCAGCACAT